GCCTTCTCTTAATCTTCCCTACAATTTTCCCCAAGATTTGTCGCCGGAAACCGCCGCCCGAAGTTCCAGTCGTCGCTCTACCCGCGCCCTCTCCCTCTTTCTCCGCTTGGTTTGGGCGAAAAGACCGAATGGGGGGAGTGGGGGTCTCGGTTTGCCTATTAGGGAGAAATGGGATGCCAAAAGGCCTCTATGCCCTCACTTAAACAACCCATGCTTGCATAAACATTAGGGGGTATTATTGGAATTATGAGACTTCTCTTAATTTTAATTTCTAAATTAAGCAAAATTTAATACAAGTTTTATACATCAAATTTCTTAGAATTTTGCGTAGAATTTTATAAAATTAATCCCGTCGAAATCCGACAACCTCGAATTTTTCACTTAAAACTCGTCGCGGCGCTTTGAAAAGCGTGCGAGATCTAAAACGATATTTTCGGGTTTTCACAGTCCAGTCCGAATTTCGCTCGAATCCCGATCTTCTTCTTCCCAAATCCCGTCTTCTACTGCACTAATCCTATTTTTTATTATTTTTTTAGGGTTTATTTGAAAAAAAGTTGTAACATTTATTAGAAAGCAGGTTTCTTTTGTCTTTTCCAATTGAAGTTGTTGGTTTGTTGGGAATATAGAAGTAATGAATATTCAAATTTAATAAATATTATTTTGTTTAATTATAATTTTTTTTAATATTAATAATTAGCCGAGTCAACTCGCAAGTCAGCTCAAGCTTGACTCGTTAACGAGCTCGGAACCGAGCTTATCGAGCCAAGAACTCGAGCTCCTTTCCATAAGCTGAAGTGATTTTCAAATTTGTCCATCTCGGCAAACTATTGCGGAGGGTGGATGGGTTTTGCTTTAAGTATTTGATGATTTATTTCATTTTAAATATCTTGATTTTGGGGTGATTTTTTTTTTTAATTTGAAAGGCATTTTTTAAATATTTGAGCTCCCCTCCGTTTGAGATTTTCTGTCAACACGGTCATCATCGGGATTTTTAAGGAAAGTTTAATTTTATCGGTTGAAACTTCTCGACTCTGTCTATTTGCCAACAGAGAATAGGGTTCGTCATCGGCTTTATGCCTTCATTTGTAAATTTTCTTTATTATAGACATTGAAGGCCTAATATGAATGTATAAAAAAAATATCTCGGTCGAGACCGCAATCGTATATCAATTTGATGGTTTGAGCCGTGTTGACTCATATCTATTCACATGGAAAGATCGGGCTTGAACTGAAATTTTTTTCCTAACTCATGCAACATTCTCAGATGTTACATGTGGTCATACAACATGCACGTTGGGGCCCATGCGGATAATCATATTTAATGCATTAGGGGGGACCATTTAAATATTTAAATATAATTATTTGCGCTAAGTGATTGTCGTTAAAGTTTGCGCAAAATTTAATTTGAAGCTTGAGAAACGTCTTCTGTCTGCTCGTACGAGTGTTGTGAATCCGGTGGCGTAGTTTTAACAGCATGTTAGGCCTCATTTGTCATGCATCGACTATGCAGTTTGGCTTATTTCATCCTGTATATTGTCATTTTTTCAGTATTCATCCTGCAGGGGTGTATTTCTTCCTATAAACATGCTATATGACGCATTAAGAGCCTTATGTTTGTTGCTCTTATCTGGTGTAATATTGGGGTTGGGAATTTTTTGCCTCAATTTACGATAAGCCGTAGTTTTGAATCATTTATTATTTCTAATTGTCGTATGCTGGTTAATTGCGTTCAGTGTGGCATCCTCCAGCACTGCTTTGTAGGTGCTAGCATTTATCACAGCTCTTTTGTATTTATGCATGGAGAGTTTCTTATAGTAGCTCGTAAGCGCTTGCATTTACTGCATATCGATTTTTCTTCATTTGCAATGAAATTAGGCATTTGCTAGATACTTGATTGATGTTAACTATTAGGGTGTCTTTGTAATCATTGCATGTTGATTGTTGTCATTTGCAGGAGATTAGTGTATTCCCCTGCATATTGATGTTGAATACCATATGAGTTGCAGTCGTCGTCACTCGTAGGTGGACTACTATATGCATGATGAGTCTCCTATATTCGCTTGAGAATGCTCACTTTGATTGTATGCTGCACTATATGCATTTGCAAGAAGTTTCATTGTCCACAGATGAGTTGGTGTATTCATTTGTACACACTAATGCTTACTACCATGTGAGCTGCATTCATCGCATATTCTCCATTCTTTTCTTATAAACTTATCACATTCATAATGGACTTCTTACATGCTTATAAACTTAACTGCATACGTTAAAACAACTATTGTAAGCTAATACTAAGGCAAAGTTGGCAAAACAGGATGTTGACGCTAGTGTCAAAGTCGTGAAGTGTGTAAAATCAAATCCCCGTTAACCCGACAACTTTCAATGAAAGTCGTAAGTCCGACTTTAGGGGAAATCTTTAGGTAAAAATTATATAACCACTAATCTCCTATTAACACCCCGGCAACTTCTAACAGAAACCGTAAGTCCAACTTATGAGGAAAATGTATAGGTAATAACATAACCCTAGACCCTCACATGAGCATCATAGTCTATAGGGCTAGGTTGTTATACCCACTATACGGGCCACTTCGCTTACAGGGCTAGGTCGTAAGACCCGTCGTCAGGCAACTTCTAAGGAATCTTAAGATCTATCCAACCAAAACTCTCGGGCATCTTAGTCTATAGGGCTATGTTATAAGACATGTTATTTGGGCCACCTCTAATAAAGGCCGCAAGACTCACTATTAGGATTACTTTCAAATGAAAGTTGTAAGTCCCTAACTAATCCAATCACATGGGCAACTCGTTATCAAAGCCATAAGCCTCAACGTAAACCAAACAAAGTTAAAAATCTACATTTCTCCACTTCAGTTTACTCGAAATCTCGGAGAGGAGGCAACCCATGATTGTTAGTCAGATTCTCTGGATACTATAATAAATGATTGTTAGTGTTGGTAGATTGCAATCCACAGTATATCTAGACGACAGAACCATGGGATCTTGATCTGGTGTACCTTGATTCTCATAACTAAGATTAAAACACAATTGCACATTTCTACACTACTTCCACAAACTACATATATTTCATTCTTAATCGAGAGTGCTCTTCTAATACTTTAGGAGTGGTAATAGGTAGTATAACTCAGATTTAAATAAACTGACACTACTCTGGGGAAATCTGGTTAATTTTAATTTCCAATCTACCTCTGGGAAAATTGGAACCTTACGCTTGCGAGAGCGAGGTTCGCGCCTAATATTCTTTTCTAAGCAAACAATTTCATTAATAAAAAAATATGATTAAAAATCAAATAGAAGAAATATAACTTAAATAAATTCCAAAATTCAAAGTAGGGGTGTAAAGGTCTATTGAATAGTTTTTGTACAATTCCGAATTAATGCTCGACTAAATAATCTTGTTCCATCATTATTGGAATCTTATCTAACTTGACTTTGTTCAAAACTGAGTCAGATTTAATTTGATTAGATTTTTGGGTCCAAATTTAGATTAGATGCTTATTTTTTTTTTTTAAAGGATTAGATGATTAATTGCTTAGATAAAATATATAATTAAAAGTGATATGGAATTATGGACTAGGACACCTGGTTATTAACTACCAACATCTAGACATTATTACATAAAATATGCATTCAATAATTGAGTAGATATGATCATGCAAGACGTCCAATCATTCATTTTAAAACTGAGGTTCATTAGAGTCACACACACACACACATATATATATATATATAACATCTGAAATTTATTAAAAATTAGTTAGGCCATCTACATTTCCCCAAAAAAAGGAAAAAAAAAACGTAATCTACAACCATTTCACCTTTTTAAATTTTAAAATTTTAAATTGTGTTCAATTTAATTTTAGATTACATTTTTATTAGAATTAAAAATTGACCTTTATACCAATTGTGAGCATTTTAAGAATTGAACTGACCCGGACTATAGCTGAACCAAATTGATCAGATCGGTTCAATTTGTTTTGCTCCTTTGATATTTTTGCACATCACTAATCCAAATGCTGTAATCATTTGATTCATATTCAAACACTAAAATATAATCGACACAATCATATAAAATCAAAGAAAATGAGACATCAAAATGAAATAAATTTAGAGGTTAGCCATCCTTAATATTTTCTTTTAAAATATTGTGCAGCCGACATTTGCGTTGAGGATTTTTAACATGCTTCATTTCTCTTGGCCTTGTGTGCATGTTCCTTCCCTCTTTTCTCTTCCCCTCATCCCCTTGCTTACCTCTCTCTCTCTCTCTCTCATGCCTGTTGCTTTCTCTATTTTGCATATGTTTAAGAGATCAGGTCCTCACAATTTAGTACTTCATATCTTGCATTTCTGTTTTCTCATTTCCTCTCATTTGAATAAACATTATTATTTTTTCTTCAAGCGTATATTCCTTCAGATGACCCGCTTTGTAAGTTAGAGAGATTAAATTTGACTTATGTTAAGAAAGGTAGAGATAGACCTAAAAAGACTTGATTAGAAAATATTATAAATAATCTTTCTTTATAGATTACGAGAATTTGACTTTTAACAGGATACATTGACGAAAAAGGATTCATGTAGCCGACCCCGCGTGGTGGGACAAAGGCTTGATTTTGTTGTTGTTGTTGTAGAAAATATGCAAAATAGACCTTTTGATGTTGTTGTTGTTGTTCTCGTTTAACGGCCTTTTGATGGCCCGGTTAGGAAAGCAGATTTATTGGATTTGACTTATGTTAAAAAAGGTAGAGGTAAACCTAAAAAGACTTGGTTAGAAAATATTAGAAATAATCTTTTTTTATTATACTTTTAACATGACATAATGGAGAAAAAGGATTTATGTAGCCGACCCCACGTAGTGGGACAAAGGCTTGATGTTGTTGTTGTTGCTGCTGCGTATATTCCTTCAGGACTGGAAACTGCATTTTTTACTCTATTCTCCATTCAATGTCGCCAAGATTTTTATTAGTAGTCTCATTTTCTTCCAGGAATTCTCAATAAACCCACAAGGAGCGGTCGCCTTGAAAGTACCTCAGGCGCTTCATAGGCACATGCAGGGCCACTCCATTCAATGCATCGCCTCCGGCGGCCAGCCGCCAAGTCTCAAGTTCTTTTTCTTCGCCCAAAAGGAAGGCGAAACTTCTCCATTTTTCCTGGTTGAGTGTCTCATTAATACATCATCAGCAAAAGCACAGATAAATATTAAGGCCGAGGATCCTACCCTTTCTGAACCATTTTCAACTTTGTTTCGGTCGGCATTATTAGCTTTGAGCCCATCTTAATTACTTGTTTTTCGCTATAATTTTTTACAATTATTCAATGTATTTCAGATCCATATATGCATTTTCTATTTCTCATTTCGAAAAGTTTATTGATTATGTTTCATTTCTTGAACATGATATTTGATGGTGAGCAGTTATTCTGTACTGTGTTATTCATTGAGAATCAATCTAGTCCATTTTAGCACCAGCTTTTGCATGTTTTACCCATCTTTTTCATTTATTTTACGAGTACCGAGTTTGCTGCAAATGCCAGAATGATATGATGTACCATATGTTGGGGAATTAAGCATTCTGGTGCACAATTTTTTAAGCTAAAAATTTTTATATCAGAAAATTATTTTAGAAAGCAGTAACAAAATTGTCTCAAATGAAGTTTTAGGCTTTATTTGGGATGGCTTTCGTACTGTTTTAAAAGCAATTTTTTAGTACAAAATATAATTTTGATATTAAAAAATTACTTTAAGAAGCAGTAAGCAAGTCATCCCAAATGAAACCTTATTCTTTTATTTTTATAGGCAATCTCCTTGTTATTGCAAATTGATCAAGACTTTTGCCTTCGCTGGTGCAGAATCATGATGAATGGCCTTGTTTCTATGTTTCATTGGCAAATTAATTCCTGCGGTATTGATATATCACTCGAAAAATTCATCTCATCAAATATAAATCTTGATGCAATTTTTTTGGATTGAAAATATTTGAAATTAAAATCAGGATCAATAGAACTTTAATGTTAGCAAAATTATATTTGAATTAAAAGGTTCAATGATGAATTCAATGGGTCTAAAACTGATTTGATTATACTACAAATGAAGCCGAATTAAGTATTTGAACTATGGTTGAAATTTTTATGGCATTAATTAAATGACCAAAATCATATCTGAATGTGCTTACATTCAAAATGAAGAATGCAATGAGTTTAAGATTATTTAATTTTGAGGTCATTAAGATAATTATATGTTCATGAAATGGTTTATGAAAAAAAATAATACATTGTTTAACGAAATATTTTGATTTTTTTATTAACGCTATTAAAATGAACCTTGATAAGTTATTAAACCCTCCTTTGCATGCAGGGGATGGAGGCTTGTGAGCGTAGAACTAAACTTGGAGTTGCAGAGCTTTGCTCATCAATTGATGATGATGATCGTTGTATAAAATCTTCATTGTCAATGATCTCCTGATATAGTCTATTAGCTACAATCTCCCATCGACTTTATAGCCAAAAACATCATTGCATGGCATCACCTATAAGGCTAAGGCATGCTAATGATCCAAACACTAAATTTGTTATCGATCGTTGCCAATAGTGTCTAAAGTCCACTCATGACATTGCCTATAACACTGATGCACGTCATCAAAACTTATATTGATGCCCATCGGGCCCATTGCCTACCACTATCAATAAGTTTTATAAACGCCATTGTTATTAAGGTTGATGCAAATCATCAATACCAACTCCATTATAATGTCACACAAAGATTTATAATAAGGTTGGGTGGGTCAGCAAATACTGCAAAGGGTTAGCTCAAGAAATAAGGTTGATATTGTGTAAAGCATATAATTTCTAAGATGTTGCATGGCGAAAATCAAAGCCAAACATTATTTTTTTTCATAGTCGAATATCTTAGCTGTGTGGGAATTAAATATCTGCTAAGATAATATAAGGTACTTTTCTTTTCTTCCTCATTCTCTAGAATTAAAAGTGTACCAGGTGACTCATCCAACACTATAGTGTAAAGGATCAATGTTTGACTTGGGATTCATCAAGTAGCTCTTTATGCTCTCAAAGGCCTCTTGATAGTGCTTATTCCAATGAAAAAGAGCATCCTTCTTTGCCAAAATAGTGAAGGCATGACACCTACCAGCAAAGTTAGAGATAAATCTCTGCAATAAAGTAAGTTTACCTTAAAAAGATCTTAGCTGGGTAAGACTTTTTAGGGGTTTCAAGTCTATGATGATCTTGATCATGGTGGGATCAATCTCTATGCCACGATATTGGACAATGAAACCATGGAATATCCTCGCAGTAATGTCAAATGCGCACTTCATGGGGTTCATCTTGAGATTATGCTTGCGCAATTGCTCAAAAATGATTTACAAATCTCAAAGGTGATCTCTGCGGATCTTGCTTTTGACCACGAGGTCATCCACATAGCATTCAACATGCTCATAAATTAGCTCGTCAAAAATAACAATCATGGCACGTTATAAGTGGATCCAATGTTCTTGAGGCCAAAGGGCATAACTTTATAAAAATACACACCGATAGAGGTGCGAAAGGCGATGAACTTCTTTTCTTCATGGGTCATCTTTATCTTATTGTACCTAGATGAACCTTCCATAAAGAAAAATATACTATGGGATGAAGCAATATCGATTGTAAGCTTAGCAATGGGAAGATAAAAATCATCATTGGGGCATGTCTTATTCAAATTACGAAAGTTGATACGAACACGAATCTAATCGCTCTTCTTCTAGATTGGAACAATATTAGCAAGCCAAGTAGGATACTTCTCTTCAGGAATAAAGTCAGCTTCTATAAGCTTCTTTATCTCAGCAATCACCTGTTATTCAATCTCCAACCTCATTCGACTAGGTGATTGTATAATAGGGACTACATCTAACCGAATAGCTAATATATGAATTATTATTTCTAGATCTAAATTGGGTATATCAGTGTAGTTACATGCAAAATAATCTTTAAACTCATATATGAGTTCAATATACTCTTGAGTTTCTAACTCGTATAATAAAAGACTATGAAAAATAGGTCGAGGATATATATGACTCGATGCCCAGATTAACTTGACATAATTCGTCCAAGGCATATCGATTGACATCTTCAAATTTATATAGAGCATCAAGGACCCTGTCAACAACATCATCCTGGTCTTCATCATTGGATATGGAAACAACCATATTGGAATGAGAGATAAAACAAATGTTGGTGAAAGAATATTGATCTTTCTCAAAATAACCTAAGCCTTATTAAGTTTGAGGTAGATCAATCCGCCAAAAGTGGATATGCTGTAGAGCCTGTCCATCAAACCAAGTCAAAGGAATAACACATCGCTTAATATAACTATCTACAAAAGAAGAGAAGTAGAGTGGAATATATGTGATCTCATTATCTATGGTGGATTTCATAGGATTCAGCATATCAGTACCTTGTGGGACACCTATACTGTGAAATAAAGAATACGCCTACCAGACTATGATGGCACATAAAAAGTGTACAACTCATGTACAGAGTGATTGTCAAAGTGTAGTGGACCATAAGCACTAGTGAAAGGTGTGAGAGGAGTCTGTCGGGTAGATCCTTCAACTCTCATTTCATACATATGATGAGAAAGGGATTATCAGCTAGTAATATGACATCTGACATCTACATTATCGTATAAGCCACTATCGATGATTAGGCTACCTTGAGGTATTAAATCCCTATTTAATATAGGATAGGGACTAACACCATCAATACTAAAGGCCGATGAGGGAACTAAGTTATGAGGGGTATAAATCATCTCATCATCATAGGAATCAGACTCGATAGCCAAAGAGGTAGTGTAAAGACTTAGAGGGGGATGAATTCGAGTATCGAAGTTCCTTGCGAGAAGGGATGAATCTCTACCTCAATCTCTAACACTCCATCCCCTACCTCTATTAGGGGAAACATTATTCCCTACTAAAAATTAAAAGGGTGATCCAACATGATCTGTAGCGAAAATATCTGCCTCAGTACAAACCTGTGATAGACCTTATACTGATGATTTTTTAAGACCCTATGTGAATGATTATACATGACCCTGTATAATGCTAGTATGCCTTACTGATGACTGCATAGCAGGTGGTCTGTAAGCCTTTTAAGTCATATAATACTCGGTGTTATCGTAAATAGAGACCCCATATATGGTAAAAGGTTGGGTATCACTAGGAATATAATACTTCATATCATTCATCATATACTTTATGCACTAGTGCAATATAGAGGGTATTATTCCATGCTCATGAATCCAAGGCCTTCCTAAGATATCCATGTATGAGATATTTGTCTTGATAACATAAAATTTTGCCTCAGTTCAAAGATCTCCAAATCATAAAGACAATGTAATAAATTCTAAAGCATACTAGCCCTGATCATTAAAACCTTTTAACATAATCTTATATGAAGTAAGCTTCGAATAACCAAGTGAGAGACTCTCTAAAGTGGCATAATTGAGGATATTGGTTGAAGTTCCTTGATCAATAAGGAGACCATTTAACTCATGACTATTGACTTCAGCAGTGACATATAAGAAACTGTTATACTCAAAGGTCCCTAAGTGAATATCCTGATATGAAAAAGATAATGCATGGTATTTCTCTCAAATAGACCTTTTGATGTTGTTGTTGTTGTTCTCGTTTAACGGCCTTTTGATGGCCCGGTTATGAAAGCAGATGTATTAGATTTGACTTATGTTAAAAAAGGTAAGAGATAAACCTAAAAAGACTTGGTTAGAAAATATTAGAAATAATCTTTTTTTATTAGACTTTTAACATGACATAATGGAGAAAAAGGATTTATGTAGCCGACCCCACGTAGTGGGACAAAGGCTTGATGTTGTTGTTGTTGCTGCTGCGTATATTCCTTCAGGACTGGAAACTGCATTTTTTACTCTATTCTCCATTCAATGTCGCCAAGATTTTTATTAGTAGTCTCATTTTCTTCCAGGAATTCTCAATAAACCCACAAGGAGCGGTCGCCTTGAAAGTACCTCAGGCGCTTCATAGGCACATGCAGGGCCACTCCATTCAATGCATCGCCTCCGGCGGCCAGCCGCCAAGTCTCAAGTTCTTTTTCTTCGCCCAAAAGGAAGGCGAAACTTCTCCATTTTTCCTGGTTGAGTGAGAATCAAAAAAAAAAAAAAAAAAAAAAAAAAAAAACATGGCCGGGGACTCATCAAGTATTTCTTTATGCTCTCAAATGCCTCCTGATAGTGCTTATTCCAATGAAAGAGAACATCCTTCTTTGCCAAAGTAGCGAAGGGATAACACCTATCAACAAAGTTAGAGATAAATCTCTGCAAAAAAAGTAAGTTTACCCTAAAAAGACCTTAGATCGGCAAGACTTTTTGGGGGTTTCAAGTCTATAATGATCTTGATCATGGTAGGATCAATCTCTATGCCATGATATTGGACAATGAAACCAAG